TAAAAAGAAATAAAAACATCTTTTTTTATAAAACTTATTCCACCTTGATTTTTTCTGGAAAATTATTTTAATTATCTATCATGCTCTCCTCTCCAGATTCAAACTATTTTTTCTATCTTTCTCAATGAAACATTTGTGTGTGCAAACTTACATATAGTTAATTCAAATGTATAGTAATTTTGTTTACTGTGCAGTTAATAAATATTCAATGTCAAAAAATATACTAATCAGGCTAATGCATTGAAAAAATGTAGGATTTGAGGAAAATTTTTAGGTAACATTTGTTTATCAACGTCATTTATATTGGTATAACTACTTTCAGGTGAAGACACCCTAGATGAATCACTTCCTAAATAAAAGATAATCTTGAAACCTATCATAAAAACTGTTTGAAGGGATTCTACTACTCTTATGAAATTAATCCCATTTAGAATATTTCAGGCATATATGGAACAATAATTAATGTGCACTTATTATCCTCTATCAGTCTTGCTATATGGTTCATGACCAAACTAATTCAATAGAGAAATTACTTCATTGGTTAAGCCTTGGTTTGTAACTTTACCTTCTTTGTGGCCTTACGTGAGCAAGTTCCAAGTTCACATGAGCAAACTAGGCTCTGCTTAGTTAAGGGGTGATTAAAAATCTTGGTAATTTCAAATCCCAGAAATGTGGCAGAGCATGTGAGCTACAAGAGATTATAGGGCACTCTTTTACCAAGATTTTGTCTTGAGATCTTTGGTCTTCCAGTTTATCTTTGAAAGCTAAAGCTGAGAACACCTTCAAAATATGGTTAGTGTGTCCTTTCTAGAGTGACTTAGTGAGCTATGAGAATGATGTGTATCCTTGATGTTAATGTTACTCCATTTGGCCTCCATAGCTGTCTTTCTCAGACATCTCTAGTTACAGCTGTATTTGCCTTGGACAGCTAAGTATTTCTGACCTCTATATGGCTAGAGATGTAAAATGGTAATCCAGAAATGGCATATGTCCATTGGCTCTGGAGATGTCTGTCTACTCTAAGCCATCTGTCCCCATCTGTGTTCCCTCTGCCAGTTGTTGTCTCTGCTCTTAGGCAATGGGAAGGATTATGTTTCTCTTCCTTAGGTAGGAAAGCAGTTCTTGATTTGAGTCCAAGCTGAAAAGAAATGATACCTCTATTACATAGTGCCATGATGCTTCCTGGATGAGCAATGATCATCAGCCCTGCTAGCTCAAGGACATAGTCATATAACCATTTCATGCCCAATACTGTATAGACTACATATGCAAACAAATAATTGGAATAGATGATACAGAAGAGAACATTAAGTAGATTTTTACAGAGGTGTAGAACATCGAAAGACACAGCTCCTGGTATCCTAGTACAGTCATGACTAGAGGAGAGGAGACAAAGTCTTTTTCTACCAAACACAGGCGCTATGACTCTGAATAAGCCTTACAACCTATATTCATTGGCTGTAGTGTAAACCCTGAAGAAGATCCAGTGAACTAAGGGAAGAAAACTATCTTTCTTCTGTCTTCCTTTGGGATATGCTCTAGACTTCCCACTGCAGTTGCTGTGTTCTTGACCTCAGCAAAAAATTCAAGGTCAGGTCATTATATGAGGATGAATATCAAATTCATTCAGTGCTGGGATGAATATATGAAATAAATGATAATCTATTTTCTTTCTGACTTATCAGTGGATAAAAATATACTAATAAAAATTAAAGTTAAAATTCTCCTAATGCTTTTGTAAACAGTTTCCTTTAGTAAACAGAGTCATATTAACTATAAAATGTGTGATAAAAATAGTGCAGTTATCAAGTAAACAGTTATGTAGTAGAAGCACCTGTTAAATTATTTTTCTTTTCAAAGGTTAATGGGTTCAGGGACCATGAATCATGTATGAAGGAGATTTTCTTCAATAAAATAATGAGATTAGTTGTCACAGTTGTATTTTCTTGAATGTTTTTAAAAATGCCTATGCCTATTGTCAATGTAAACTAGAAACTTAAAATAATGTAGGGTTTTGAGAAAATTTAGTGGCAATATAACTTCATTTTAATATGTAAATTAATAGAGTAACTTAAACATTAAATTCTACCAAGTTTCCAAGTTATTTTAAAATCGTTGTTAATCAGACATGTGCCTATTTTATGTTGCTTCAATTAAAGTGTACATTCTAATTAGTATTTTACTTTTTCCGATTAACATTATTTCCACTATATGTTTCCATGCATCAACCTAGTTTGCATGCTTACTTTTAATAAAAGTAATAACAGTAGTAGTAGAAGTAATAGTGATGATGGTGATAGCTAACATTGATCAAATGCCAGACACTATACTAACTACTTAATGTACATTATCTTATCTAATAATCATCATATTTCATGTGTTGTCATATATTTAGACAGTTTGAATATTTGGGACTGTTTCTAATTTATCATTAATATAAAAAGGACTACTATGTAAGTGTTAATCAAGAATGACTTTTGAATGTTGAAGAGTATTATTTTCTTAGATTTTATTACCTATAGTAGAATTAGTGGATATGAATAGTTTTGTGACTAATGTACTCTAATGTACCATCTCTCCTCCTTCAAGGTAACACTTTTGAAATTAATATTTATCATTTCCATGCACATTATCATAGGCTAACTACATACCTATATATCTATACACAATATTTATTATAGCTTTGCAGGTTTTAAAACTTTGTATAAAAAAATATACGGTACATCACCTTCTGAAACTTTTTTTCTGTTTAATATGCTCTATTAATATTCACTTTCAGTAAGAATATACCACGGTTTATTTAGCCATTATTCTAGGTTTTTCCAACATTTAGGTTGTCTCTAATATTTAGATCATTTCCAATATTTGCTATTACAAACCATTTTTTTTGTGTCTGTGAGGAGGACCAGCCCTGAGCTAACATCCAATGCCAATCCTCCTCTTTTTTGCTGAGGAAGACTGGCCCTGGGCTAACATCCGTGCCCATCTTCCTCTACTTTATATGGAACTCAGCCACAGCATGGCTTAACAAGCAGTGCGTCAGTGCACGCCGGGGATCTGAACCAGCGAACCCCAGGCCGCCGCAGCAGAGCGCGCCCATTAACTGCTTGTGCCACTGGGCCAGCCCCTACAAACCATTTTTAAGTGAATCATTTTCACGTGACACCTTTTATGCACCTCTGGAAGTAGGGTTATAAGTAGGTACATCTTTGTCCAGGAATTAAAAATGCTCTCTTCGGATGTTGTGCCAATTTACATGCTCAACAGCTGTGTATGATTATTTCCATTTTTCACGTCCTTACCAATCCTTGGTAATATTGGAGTTTTTGCTGTTGTTGTTTCTCCCAACGTGAATGTGAGGCGACTCTTGCTATTGTCTTAATTTGCATTTCTCTAATTTCTAGTTGTCACAGAGACATTTATTATTCACTGAGTATCCGTGTGTTCCTCCAATGTTTACCAGCCCCGTTGCAGTTATGTGGGGCCAGTCAGCTACTTCTGGCCTATAGGCAATGAGCAGAAGTGACAGATGTCACTTCAAGGGCAGAGAATTCAAAAATTTGTGCATGACT